ACAACAACAACAACAACAACAACAACAACAACAATAATAATAATAATAATAATAATGGACGTCTTATAGAGCGCATATCATAGAGACCTCTATGCGCTTAACATAAATAAGAATACAAAAAGAGTAATACTTAGCTAATCCTTAAGAGAGTTCATCCGCCTTTTGTTCAGCTATTTTTCTTATTGCTGCTGGGTGACCATTCACCCTCCCACCTAAAGGCCGCTAAGGCCCTAGATGGGGCTACCAGTTATTGGCAGGCGATTCGAGTGGATGCATTTTAACGTCATACCCAGGACAAAATTCTCTATAAGACGAACATCCCATTCTGTATATTTTTTACTCCATATGCCTATATGTACAGTATAAATATAGGCCCTATATATAAATATTTAATCCAAAAGAACTTCGTTGCTTGAAGTACGAACTCAATGTTTGGGTAAAAGTCTGAAACATTCATTCATTCTTTTTGGATATTGGCGCTATATAAATATTTTGATTGATTGATTGATTGATTGATTGAAACACTGGCACGGATGTGTCGAATTACAGATTCGGCTTGATGCCGAATGCCCCTAGATCGGTCTGGCAATGATTCGTCTAGAAAATTAGTTGTGCGGACCCGGATAATACTAGACGTATTTTTTTCTACAGAATATGCAATCATTCGAAAGATTGAATTTTTTTCTTAATTTTTTTTTTAACGTGTTAACTTTAACATCCTAATGTTCTCACCTCCTTTCTCGGAGGTGTAATTTTCGCTTACTCTACCTCTTATAATGCTCCGAGATTTCACTACCAAATGTGGTTTATTTCGGAAAGCCGATGCTCGTGAGATGTGAGTTTCCTACCTATCAAGTCCTCAATGCGGTCTGAGGCGGTTCGGCAAGCCTGCTCCTGACTGACGATGCGTGTCTTAAACTGCGGCAGTAGACCTTTCCTATCGTTCGACACGATCTCTACCCCTCACGTTATACTCCTACACTTTTTCCTTAAGAGGTCGGAAGTGGCGGCGCCAGCGGGGTGGGGGAGGGGATTAAGCCCCCATCGGTTTGGTCAAGCCCCCTCCCATCTGCCAAAGCTCGTCGGGCAGTCGGACCAAAAGAAAACAAAAATTAGACCTATTGTTTTCCCATCCTAGCCATTTCCGGCCATCTAGAAGTCCCATTTAAAAAAAAAAAAGTCTTGTTTTTTGGAGGAGGAGACATCCCCCTCCCATACTCACCCCCGGCTCGGGCCTTTGGCCCTCAGACAACGCAGCGCACTATAGTTACACCCATAAATACTTAGCCCCCTTCCCCCAGTCGGTCATCTTAGCCCCCATAAATTATATCCTAGAGCCGCTACTGGAGGTCGGCTTTACTCACCAGAACCAGAACCACAAGCTCACGTACAATTTTCAAAAAATGCCCAATCTCAAGCAAATCCCGAAGAAATCCTAAGCAACCAGTGTAAGACCCTTGAGAGGTCTGAACTAGAACAGATCGTAAACAATAGTTTTTGGTTGATTTGCAGAGCAGACGTTTTTCTATACAAAAATCCTTAAATTACAGCACTTTAGGGTTAGGCACAAAAAAGCAAAGGTATAATAGTTTTAAGTATCTGGAAATTGACGGGATTCCTTTTTTCACGTTCAAATCTATAATTGTAAGTTAATCTTAGTTAATTATACAAATAAAGCAATTAAAATATCGATTTTTTTTATTTCCTTTACATCCAACAGCAAGTACACTTGCCACTTACAGGATGAGAATGATGCTTTATAAACTAAGTCTGTCTATGAGACTTAGGGAGTGGAGTTGGTTTTGGTCGTGAAAAACAGTCCTGCTGTGACAGGAATTGAACCCAGGACCATGGGATCAGAAGGCAAGCATCTTAACCACTAAGCTATTCAACTCCACTCCAATTTATAATTGAATTTATAATTATTTTAACTCATGATAGGCAGTTCATCATTAACTGGGATTGCAACCTGCAGGTAAGGTAAATAAAGGCAAAAACGACACATGATTCAGGGATGACCGGGTAAAAGCAATAAAAATGTAGTTAATAAGCAGTATTTATATTTAATATAGGCCTAATATATTTAATTATTATCACAGATTTTACATATCTCACACATAAATTTCGATTGTCATATTACTACCACACTCTCAAACTATATAATAATTTAGTAAATTATAATAATAAGTATAAATTTAGGCTTATTTCTTTAGAGATATAAACAATTTATTTTGACAGAATATACTGTACCTACAAAGAAAAACAGGCTGACATAGGCCATCCGTTTGACAAATGTGAAGTGTATTGATATATTACTGTATGCGATTCATCGGATTAAAAGTTGTACAATATATTGGTATATTACTGTATGCGACTCATCAGATTAACATTTGTACAATTATTGGCATAATTCAGTATGTAATTCATCAGTTTGACAATTGTATAGCTTATTGGTATATTACTGTATGAAATTCATCAATGTCGTAAAACCATGGAGGAATTATCTGTATCTGCATCTGTATCGTGTCGTTGTCTGTCGTAATCGTGTCTAGAGTAAATGCAGATTTAGTCTAAACAAAATGATGAGCTCAAAAATTACAAAAAAAAATGCTTAATTATGTAATCGTTTTGAAGAAGGTCACATAAATGAGTATGTTTTGCATTCATTTCTGAATTATGTAAAAAGAGGTCACCCTTGTTGTAGTTTTAGAGTTCATCGCTATTTTAACTGGTATTCTGAAGTACGCTTGAATTACAAATTAATGTTTTAAATGATAATTTTTATACGTAAAACAGACTAACTTTGCTTGATTGAGAGTTCTATAATGAAATGTTGAGCTTGTTTTTTTCTGATCTGTAATTTATTTAAGATTAGTTTTAACCGTGCATTTTTAATTGTCAATTAAAAACAAAAATTGTCACATATTTTACCAGATGGACAATTAAAGAAATGTTGTGTTTATAAAAGTGTTTATTGATCTTCTTATCTGTTAAAACATAAAGTACTGCAACTAAAATACTGCAACTGTCAACTATAATGGTGACAACGAAAATTATGATGACTTTGGTCATGATGATGATTAAACAAGTTTGGAAAACTGATCCCACGTTGGTTATGTATAGATATTTTGGCGGAATATACAAAAAAAATATGTATTTCTCATTTAAGATGGTACTGCAGTTCATAATGTGGGTAGATTGTTTAATGCTATTTTTTTGTATTCAATTTAAGCAGCAAAACATTTTAATTATTATAATCAAACAAAATAATTATTAACAAAATTTGTTGTAAAGAAACTTTGATGACGTGATCATTGATATTGACACAGTTTGTGATTCCTGATACTGCGTCAGGTGGTTCACTTATAAAGCCGTACTCGTCCTGCATTTTTTGCTTACATTCTTTAATCAGATCAGATAAACATAATGCGTACGTAATGTGTCACACACAATGGTATTTTTAAGTAAGTTGTTCTTACTATAAGCTAAGAATAGATTTGTACAGTTGTGGCTTCGGGTGCGTTTACAGCGTGTTTAAGTGATTCCATCAAGTTCGTTTTTAAAGGCC